CCATTCAGCCCCAAGGCAGTGTCCTACCCCTGACACCCAAGGCTCACATTCCCCACTCAGCCTTACCACTTTAAAGCATTCTCCTTTCAGGTCATTGTCTGAAGATTTTAATACAAAACAAAGAGCAAAATTCATATGTAAAACTAGAAATGCTCCAACTTGGCAGTGAAACAAAACTGCACATTCTCTGTCTGTCCCAGTTGTGTTATCCCAACAGTCTTTCTGGTGGAAAATCTGGTAGGTTGGAGAAAACCAGTTTGGAACAGTAACCAGAATCACTGAGCACTATCATACACTCATTAGCCAACTTAGTTAAAATGAGTATTTACTTCTGTATTATATAGACTGAAAGATTAAACACAGAAGCTATATATTTTATGAAGAATACCTTTGTCCCTAACAATAGAGCATATTCCTTCAAACTACAGCTACTCTGCTCCAACAGAAGCATGGCATCTCCTTTATTGCAAACTTCAGATGTACTTTGGATGATAAAAAAATAATGTAACTGATTTCAGTGAAGCAAAGGGGACTGAGGGTATACAAGAATGGACAGCCTGCTCCAATGCAATACTCAGGTTGTTAATGCCACTTGAAGTCACAGCTAGCTCAGCACTCAGCAGCCCTAACACCTCAGAGGGAATATACAGCCAGTGCATGTTCAGAGCTGCTTCTACTGAACCCATTAGCAATCCAAGGGATAGAGTGAATTGATATAATGAATGGAAAATAGTACATACCTCCATGGCAGTTACTCTGTGATTACTAAATTCCTGTATTCAGACATTTACATGGTAAATATGTTCAGACAGCAACATTCCTAAAAAAGCTGGGAGTGCCCCACATACTCGTTTGAAGCCTCCAGCTGTTACCAACAAGACATTTCCTTATTAAAGGGGGGAAAGGGGGACAAACTCATCTCACAGGGTTGAAAGGATTTGTGGATTTTGACTTTGCTGGCAGACTTGTTGCATAGGTTTGCACAAAGCAAATGAACCGGTGGACTTACAAACATTACAAAGTGAAGCAATCACTGTGTTCTCAAAGTCACAGGGACTTTCTCCACGCAGAGTTACTGAGGACCTGCAGTGAATCTGGCCCTCTTCCCTTTACAGCAGCTGTGGCTTGGAGTGCGAGTCCTCTGTGGAAAGTACTAGATGTTCATCTAGTAGTATCAAAAACAGTTTATTGCTGCTTTTAAGTCACCCCAAGGAATGTTATTCATTAGCCAAATATGCACATATAGCTAAGAAATATTTATGCTTTTCAGGCTCTGGTAGTGTCCTGATTTCTAGCTCCAGTGTCGTGGCAGAACTGCCAGGTATGTCCCAGACATGAATGACTTCCAGCTTATTACTCAATACTCTTTGTTTTAAAAGCCATTTCAGTCCCTCAGTAGCTCATGAATGAAACAATCTGCAACAAGCAGGCTGGTCAATGAATTCTCTGAGGTGTCAGCTTCCCATGTGCACCATAATAGATCAGCAGTGGCGAGGTTCCCTTCACAAGTAATTCCTGAGCTAAATTCACAGACAAGCACCAGACTCAATTCTCTTTCCTTGGCATTTTGCCTGGAAGGCTCCAACAGGCTGGAGAATAAGGCTGACTTGGAAAAAGCTCTCTTACCCTGCTGTTCCCTCCTCACATCCCTCCAGGTCCGGCACAGAGGATGCAGCAGGGCTGCAGTGAGGCACAGGACATCTCCAGGCTGCACTGGTCCCTGCGTGGCACGGAGCCATCTGATCCCACCACGGCTGCCCCAAACAGCCTGAGAACCAGGCAGTGCCAGCCCGGCCTGCCTGCTGTGCCAAGCGAACCTGGAATAAAGAGATTCAGGCCTGCTGTTCAAGAGGAAGGGTCTGCAGCGTTAGTCTGTGCCCAGCAGACCCGTGAAGGACACTGAGGTCAACCAGCAGGAGTTTCCTAGACAAGGCTGAAGAAAAACCCCAATCTTTAACTCAGCAGTCTGAGTTTGATTGAATCCTCAAATTTCACCAGCCTGAAATAAACTAAAAAAACACCCCCAAATAAATTATTCCCGTATATTGAAAACCAGCCGGTAACTGGGGCTGTTTGGCTGTGCCCAGGCCGTGCCCAGCGGCAGGCGGAGGGTGCGGAGCTGGGTCCGTGTTTAACCCCGCGGGTCCGCAGGTTTCGGGAGCGGGGCCGGCAGGAGGAGCGCTCAGACCGCTGCCCGGCCGGGTGAGCAGGGCACGGCTCCGGCACGGCCGTGTTTTCCATGCCAGCTGCCGCTGTATCCCCATCTGCGGGCACGGAGGGAGCACAGCGGCCCCTCCGCCCTGCCCGCCCCGCTGCTCCGAGCGCTGCCCTCCTGTCTGCCCGGCACTGGCATCTCTGCTGCGAGGGATGCCCCGTCCGCGCAGCAAACCCTCTCGGCAAAAAGCTGGCACGGAGAGCCCGACCGCCTGGCAAAAATAACGCCTTAGGGGCAGCTGCTTGCTGATATAATCCCATAGGAAAAGAAAAACTGTTCTGAAGGGGATGACGCTGCCTTCTTAGGCATTCCTGGAGTATAAAGTGAGCGTGAGTCAGGCAGAGTGAGAGGATGCATCTTGCCATGTGGACAAACAAACAAATCAGCCAATGAGTAAAAAAAATTCTGGAAGTATCCTTTTATGCAGGACCTGGAAGGCTGCAAAGTTGAGTAGTTGGAAGTCACTTGTTCAGAAATGACTCCTTCCTGGCCCAGAACATTCTGTGAGGATTTCTCAGGACAAATTCAGGGCAAGTGAGAGGGAGCAGCCCTGACACAGTCTGAGTCAACCACGAGGCACACACACATACCTGTCCATCCTGCCACAGCTGACCTGTGCCTACTGGATGTGGATGACTTTTTTAATCTGCCAGTTTTCAGATCCATGTTCATGCAGCCTACCTACCATATTCCAGCTAACGTCAAACAATGCACAGAAATTTCATGTTACAGTTTTCAACACCTAAAGCATTAAAAAGTACTTTCTGAAATATTGCAGTCCTTTTTTTGGCTCTAACATTGCAATGTTAAAGTACCATAACAGTGCTATTATTCAGTCTCTGCTCTCTAGTTTACAGCAGGAGCTGTTGGATTAGCTGTGCTGTTTGTAAAGCAGGGCTGACACTCATCCTTCCTGCTCAGTGACAGCACAGACAGCAGCTCTTGGCTCACCATGACCCTCGAGCTCCCCTGTGGAGCTCCAATTCATTTTGGCCAGTGAGGCTGCACTCCCCACCTGCAGATCACACAGCACCTCTGAGACAGCTGTGCTTTGCTGTGCACTGCTCAGCCCTCAGATCAGCCTGTTCTGGGCACAGGCACAGTCCAGAGCTGCCCTGAGGCTGTCAGATGATCTCCACAGCCCTTGCAGAAGCTGGGATATGAATGAGCCTGGTCCACTCCTTTCTCATTTACCACCAACATAAGGGAAAATGTTTCACAGTGTGAGTTCCTGTGCAAGCTGCCCAGTGACCCCTACACCTTGTGCTGGCACAGGCTGTGCAAGTCAGCAGCCTCACTGCATGGATACAGATCTAGCATCTCATCAAAGTGTTTCCAAATCTCTGTACTGTGCTATTTTCTTCCTTTCATTTATTTCTTCACTCTTTCTGACCCAACTTCACTATCTCATCCTCTCCTCTTTGCAAATTTGAAGCTTGAAGCCCTGTTTTTTCAGATCAGACTCCTTCAGTGCAAGCTGAGCATTGTCAACTACCTTCAATGTGGGTGGAAGCTCTACTAGAGAAACCAAGGTGGAGCACACAGTGAGCTGTCCTGGCTGTGTTCAGGGCACTGCTCCCTGTGCCAGTGCCACACCAGTGCCCTGCCTGAGCCTTGTTTAACACTGTGAAGCTACAGGGACTGCTGTCACACAGGCAGGACAAACAGCTGACTTCCCAACTACCTGTGGCCTTCCAGTAGTCTTGTCTTCCTGTCTTACACCACTGGTTGTATCAGCACTGAAGAAGAGTAAAGAATTCTATGTCCCACCTGAGAAGTGGTCAAAATGCAGTCATGCATGCAGTCATGCTTGTCCATTCAGTTAAATGCAGCAATAACATAATCTATTGTGACATCCTGCTGAAAACTGAATACATGTGTTTCCTCACACAGTCCAGCTGTAGGTAAAGCTTTTCTGGACATTTCAGACCCAATATATAAACTAACTCTCCACACAAGCTATCTAGATACAAAATATCCTCTGAGGGTGGAATTCTAGACTCTGAAGGATTTGCTTTGGCAATAGCAATGTTTACTGTTTTCCCTGTCAGATGTTGTTCTCAGGACATCAGTGGGCATTTCTTTGTCGACAGATTTTGCGGATCTCAACGTGACTGATGGACTTGCAGATCCCATCAGTGAGACTCCAGAGGTCTCACTCTGTTTTCTGATAACTGCTGGGATTTCCTCTCAGAGTATAAGAAATGTTCTGCAGTATGAGCCCCATCTCTCAGGCTCAATGTCAAACATAATGGGCTTCTAATAATAGAACCCCCCCAATCTGCCTGGCTATTCCAGCCCTGGCTCTGCCACAGGAAGCGTCTCATGAGGTCACAGCTAACACAGTAAACAGTGACCCTTCTGAGTGACAGGGCAAGAACAGAAAGGCTTCAAATGCTGGGGAGGTTTCTCCTCTCCAACACTCTGTGACAGGACTGAGCAGGGCGAGTTTCAGCAGCGTATTTACAATTCCTCTTCCACAAACTGTCACAGTGTGCACAGCACTCGGGGGGTTTATACGGCTCTTTATGTGTGGGAAAGACAACCATCTACAGGGTGAGCTGATGCTAAATCTCTAATTTCAGACCTCACTTATGATTGTGTATTGAAAGATTTTTATTTTATGATGGGTAGAAGAAATAGAAATGTAATAGGGAAATAAAACTTTCCCCACATTATGCCTTAATTCAAAGAATTCTCTCGACAATTCTCACATTCCCTTAAATTACTGCCATGAAGAGATCAAGTGGCAGAAGTATCAGTTGCTTTGGGACTAAGTAAAAATAAACAAAATAAAAAAAAATTAACAAAAGAAAATAGTTTTAATCTGTTTCTCAGCTTAGACAGAATTTGATTTCTGCCTAAAGAAAAAGGCCTGAAATGCTGACCTGCCCCACACAGAAAAGATGCCAGCGGATGCAGTAATGCTGCATTTCCTTGCCATGGCTTTAGAAGTATTGACACTTTTTAATTTGCTGTAATAATGATGCAAGTTTTGTTCACTTTTACCTCAGAATCTGGACGGACACGTTGCTGTACTCTGCAAGCTGTTTTTCCTGGTTGATGTATTTTCACCATACACCTCCTTTTGCCTAAATCTCAATACAGATTCTGCAACAATTTGTACTTGCTCACCTGCTCTATCAGTTACATATTCTAGGTGTAATGAGGTACCTGCTGCTTGGTCATTCTCCTTCCATCTGCCAGAGCCTATGTAATATTTAATTCCTTCATTCTGAGTATTCATCACAATGTAACTTGGTGGATTCTTACCCCTTGCTGGCAGCTGCTTTGTTCTTTCATAGCTTTTACACAAGACTTGTAGATGCAGAAATCTGTTATGTCACTTCCATCTCTGAGTTTCAAGACAGGGAATTCTCTGCTTTTACAGCAACTTTCCTTAAAAATGTTCTTTGAAAATCTTTTACCTGAAAATAGGGTTTAAAGGTTACAGGTCATCTATTGCTCTGCAGTCAAGAATTTCTTTCCAGATGTCAGACACTACTGTGCTTTAATTACACAGTCCTCTGAGAGGTCTCCTACTGTGAAATTTTCTTTGTTTTACGAAAGTCATTTTATTGGCAAAACATATGACTAACAAAAGGGATATGACTCTATGCTTGCTGTATTATGAATTACTACACTGTTTACAGCTGAGCTTTAAAAACAATTTTCAGACAGCTCTGGCTTTGGTGACTAAAGCTTTAAACCACTTGGGTTTTTTTACTCCTTTATTAAAGCCAGAGGTGGGGAATTTCTCATTCCTGATGCCATTTTTTGTCAGGCCAGGCCTGGGTGTCTGTAGGTCAGACAGATGCACTGGAACCATCAGTGCATTTTTGAGTTCTCTGATGGAAACTCACACGAACTGTAAGGAAACGTTAGAAAATTGTGACGGGTTGTCTAACGCACAAACTGAGATCAAGTGAGGGCAGTTCTCCTCACCCTGCACAGAGCTTACAGCTTCACCCCTTCTGCCCTGGCCCTGAAGGAGAACTTGTTGCCTGAAACACTGCCTGTCTCTTCAGCTGGTCCGGTGAACACTGGTCAGTGGCTCGGAACGGTGCCTGGACGATGCCTTCGTTAAGCACCCTGAGAAACCTCCCTGCTGGAGCTCCATCCAACCAGGCAGGCAGGGCTCAACAGCTCTTTATTCCAGCCAGACACAAACCATGATAGAGCAGCGTTCTCCAAGAGACAGATCTGCTCGTGGGACATGTAAATACTGGCTTTGCTTCCACTGGTGTCCGTAGGAGCGAGGATGGAGGTGTGATGTTAGGAGATGCTAAGTTCCTAAAATACGTTCTCAGTGATTGCTATATTAAGAGCTGTTTTGCTTTGGGGGATGAAAGGTCTGTTCACTTAATATGAGGAACAAGGTCTGTCTCAGAGATGTGGAAGAACATCTATTCATCCAAAAGCTCTGCTATTTCAGGAATAATCTGTGAATTATTTTAAGAGTCTGTTTAAGCCGTTGTTAACTATACCTGGCAGCTTTCTGGCAAATGCATTATTGTTTCTCTAGACTTCTTCATTCCTTCAAGGAAACTTTCTGGGAGACAGGACTTGTCACTTCTCCTGTTGACACTGTTCCACTTTGTATAAATAATGACACATTCACTGGGACTGGGACTAACACCTCCGCCCTCCCCAGGAGGTTTACTGAGCCATCAGACTGGAGCATTGTTTTTTCTCTCACCAGCTGGCTCCATGAATATTTAAGGATATTTTACAAAGTGGGACTGTTCCAGTTGAAGGGGCTGGTGGTCAGGTCACTGCTGTGAGGCAGAAACCTAACCTGAATTTGCAGAGGAGAGGAGGATTCCTCTCAGACACAGGTAGGAGTCCGATTTTGTGACTTCTTCAGGAGCGCTGATTTGATCCTCACTTTCTCAGTGGGGTTCACACATCAATTTGTATCCTTGTTTTGACAATCACTTCCATAAAAAATACATTTTTAGCATTAAATTGAAAAATTTGCACCAAATGAAACAGAGTTTGGAAATTTAATTTCATTTAAAAATATGAAAAAATCATATTCAGCTCTTGGGTGCTGAGATTTTCTTCTATGTCCAAGTATTCAGTCAATTATTAGCCCAAACTAACTTGGAAAGTCTTCTGAAATAATATCTTGTTTACCAGTATGGGCTCCACAAATTCTATGCCTTTTATCTGAGTCTAATCAAAGTTCAGGTAGGTAATTAAAAACTGTGAAATGTACCTGTTGTCACAGAGTGAAGGGCTCCTGGGAAAGGCAGGGTAACTTGGGAATTCACAGCCTGGAAAAACTTCATTTTCCACCACTGAAAAACATTCAGTTTAACAAACAAACTTATATTTTGATGGTAATTCAATCAGCAAACTAAACCAAAACTAGAATTAGGAGTGGAACAGACTGCTAAACTGTCCAAAACTGAATGGCAGATTTAACCCCTGATTCTCACATTAATACAAAGTAGCTGTAGAATTGTGAGATGGAGTCAAACTGTCCATCTTTGAACACTGTGAGGATGTAGTAAAATCAAAGGTCCTGTTGTGTTTGGATCAGACCTCTGATCGATTTTTATGGTTATAACCTTTTGGGTCTAAGTCTTGCATTAGAGCTTGGCTGGGAATCTCCACTGGAGTCCTCTTCTGCATCACAGAAAATGTAAAAGTAACACTACAGGTATAAAATAATACATTAACAATCCAGAGCAGGTCAGAGACACAGCACACTGAGTTTAGTATTTACTTAGTCTAATTAGATGCATTTGAATTTCACTTACATTTAAAGCAGATAATTGAATAACGGTACTTAAGAGGAGACTCCGGGGTTAATAATGCCAGGAAATCATTAGGGAATCCACAGAAACACACTGCCATCCTGGTAAAAACACACTGCCATCCTGGTAAAAACACTGCCAGCCTGGTAAAAACACACTGCCAGGCTGGTAAAAACAACTGCCAGCCTGATAAAAACACACTGCCAGCCTGGTGAAAACACACTGCCAGGCTGGTAAAACACACTGCCATCCTGGTAAAAACACACTGCCAGGCTGGTAAAAACACACTGCCAGGCTGGTAAAAGCTGCAGCCATGAGAGCGGGGAGAGCCAAGAGACAGCCCAGCAAACATCTGAGGTGCATTTAGGGTGGTGTCAAGGCACAGAAGTGTCAGCACTGTTTAAGAGCCCAAGAACCCAGAGCTTTGAAAGCTTAGCTGAAAGCTGAATACAGACATGTTGCATAAAAGTCATGATCTACTGGCTGTACTTACAGCTCAGGCTCCACATAAATCAGTTCCTCTCCTTCCCTTTCAGGAATCTATATACCCAGCATCACATATCTACATCTGCACCTCTTTACAGCAGAGAGTTCCTTGCTGTTTGACACTGTGCAGGATAATTATTATCAGTGCACTGCAGTACATCTGGAAGGATGAAGGAATGCTGGCTCAGCAGACCTTGGGCAAAGCACTGCTCCTCTTAGAGACTGAAAGTGTACATAAAACAGGAGCTGCACCAGCTCTTCATGCACTCTGAGAGCCAGGCATCATTGCTTTGAAGTGGAAGGGGTTACAGCACTGCAGCTCTGCAGCTGCAGAACAGGTAACAACAGGAATTTCAATAAATACTCACCAGTCCTTGTAAATTCTGTCATTCCTTATTCAAAGATGCTACTCATCCTCCAGCAAATGTTATGTGGTAGAGGCAGGCATTCCTGGGTCCTTTCCTGCCAGGATTAAAATGAAACTTGACTGTTATCTCAAGAATGAGCCCAAAGACCAGACTTAGATTCTGGAAAGACTTTTCTCCTCTCAAAGTACCCTTTTAATGAGTGAGTTGAAGGATTTAAACATAAAGACTCATTCAAAACAGTTGCCTGTGCTCAACTGTCCACATCCAAACTGAAGTCAAGTATAGTTTAGGAACTGAAATTAAAGCACAGTATGACTTACTCAGTCTGGCCTTTATTTTGTTTGGTGGATATGGGAAATTTCCTCAGAGACTGTTAAAACAAAAATAGTCTGAGGCTCTTGAAAGGACTAAAACAAGTAACTCCTGGAATACAAAAAGGATAAATTGCTGCTTAATTCTGGCCTTGCACTTTCGATTCCTAAAGTTCTAAAGGACTGTGGCTGGGTTAGAACTGCAGATCATGCAATTGTTTTTGTATAACACAAAAAACACTGAAGCATTTTTATACCAAGTATATATCTAATTTAAATCTATAATGATGTTTCTCTAATGCTTTTCCAGCATTTCAGTTACTGCTGTATATATTTTGTAACCAAAACTGCTACTGTCTTCAAGTCTCTGGTCTTGGCTCCTAAAATTTCCATTTATGTGCCATCGATTTTTCTATAACCTTTCTCCTTAATTCTTTAGCATTGTAATGACCTATAATATTTTGCCCATAGCAAGGAGCTCTGCAATACCATGCTGAGCTTCATATTGACAGTGACGTTTCTTAACACATTAAATAAGGATGACTCTGTGAAAATCATTACCCAGCAACCTAATAGATCACAGATGTGTTTAAAAAACACAGTATTAGGCTAAACTCTGAATTCTGACCCGGAATGCATGTGTGCATCTCCCAGGGCAGTAATTCAGCACTTAGAAAAAGTAAACTCACCACTGTAATGCACAGGGCAGATAGCTGAGTTCCAGCCACCGGGGAAATAATCTGGCCCCAGCCTTGCATTCCATGACCCCTGTGCTCTGATGGGAAGGAGGCCACAGGGACTGACTGTAATTCCTGCACTCAGAACTGCCCAGCCCTGGTACAGATTTATTGTTGCACAGGAACAGCAGTGACCCAACACCCTCCTTCTTGCCAGGGCCTCTACACTGAACAGCACAGCGAGGGCATGGCATAAACAACAAGGGGAGTCCTTGTCTGTGCCATCAATGTGATGCTGGACCTGGCAGAGAGTGCATCGAGATGTTCCCTCAGAATTACTGCAGCTTTCTTCACTTGGCCCAATCTGTTGAAGAAAGGGTATTTTCCCTGTCCTGAATTTCCACCTTAGAGGAAGGAAGTCCTCCAGACGTGGGCTCCCCCAGTCTATCTTTCAGATGGAGCTGTTGACCTGCTCAGTTCAATGAGGGGCTCCTTCTCAAGTCAGGAAAACAAGTGCAAGAATGATCACAGCTGATGGAAACTTCCTTGTATTCCCCCAGCTCTTGTTGCACAGGCTGTCATAGCACTTGCACATTTTGTGAAGAGTTTCTTCCTCATTGTCCCCTTTCTGGTAATTTGGAATCGGAGAGAAACTTTCCTCGTCAGGGAAAGTAGGAAACCAGTATGTTTGTTGGCTGAACTAAAATTGCTCATAACACTTTTCTTCGTAAGAGCGTCTGCAGTAAATAAATTAGATCAAACTGTTCACCTCTTTTCTTTCCTCAGTCTACAAACCAGACTCTGATCTAAGTCTTCAGAAATTTATTCATATATAGACATGAGTGAGTCTTGTCATTAAATAAGAACAATGGATCCAAGGATGATTATTTATGTATATCCCTCATAAAAGTAATTCTGTTTTGAATCCAGAAAAAGAAAGCCTACTTTTTCCACTTTAGTGACATTTTAGTGTCATTTATCATATCCATTTCAGTGATACAATTTTGTAGCTTCTCTCCTATTTCCTTCCCCAGTCACAAGCACAATTAAAGGTCTCATGTTTCTTTCCCTCATCCACCAAAGCAACAGGAATCTGCTTTGTAATTTTCTTTCATAATATTATCTACTTGAAACAATCCTTTAGGAGTCTTGTATTATGATGAAATATCTGTCCACAACATTATTTTTCAAACATCCTGCTTGATAGCAGGCACTCTGGTTAAGAATTATTAGATCTCTTTTGTTACAGGAATATTTGCAATTTAGCACAGCAGTTGTCCAATTTATGATTTTTATATTATGGTGACAAACAATCCAACTAACAATAAATTCAGCACTATTGTCCTTAATATTTTCTTATGCTGGCAAATAAGCAACTGACCTTGAACAATAGGGGGTAAAACATTTAAAAAGAAAAAAAAAAGGAATTCTTGGATACCAGCTTGTATTCCTATGAACAGAAGAGGCAAGTAGAAACTCACCTCAAAATTGCCCAAACTGACAAATAGAAGGACTAGAAGGTAATTTGGGAAAGCCACACTGAAAAACTGTACTGCTTTTATGATTAATGCATCACTCCTGGTCTCACTGCTAAATGATAATATGAAATGTGAAATGTTGCAACTGTATTAAATATGTTATTACTGGAGGTAAAACCAGAAAAGAGACAAAAAATGTTAATTAGAGAATGTAAGCTTAGTTCCTAATAAGTTCCTAAACTCCTAAGGTGTGGGAATACTGTCAATACTACACCTGCACTTGGTATCTCAGTATCAGAATAAACCAGGGGAGGGGAGGTCTATGAGTCATCACACCCATTTTTTATAGAAAGCCAGAAACCACACTGTCATTTGATAAATGAGCTGAGAGTGAAGCCTGAAACACAAAAAGAGAGAAGAGTGGGAATTCCAGCCTGGGGAAGGGTGGAGGCTCTGCAAGTTTTCCAGTGACAACTCATGTGTGGGTTTGTGTTTCTATGAAGTAGCTGATTCAATTAAAGGCGTGACATGGATAAATCCTTGGCTTGCAGACCAAAGAAAATTTGGGAATCCTAGGAACTGGGTGGGTACATCAGTTTGTAAGAGTCATTTTAGGTGTGGGATTATCAAGAAAACAGGGATACATCCTGACTATTGCATGTTGTTCAATGCTATTCTGAGAAGGCACAACTTGTAATTCCAGGAAATACCACAGTTCTTTTGGAAGTGAAAATATCAAGATTTTGGCACTTGAGACTGCACTGAGAGATTGGGGTTGTTAGCCTGGAGATGAGAAAGCTCCTTACTGTGGCCTTTCAATAATTAAAGGGGACTTAGAAGAAAGATGGGGAAAAACCTTTTAATAAGTGGCCTAATGCAATAGGACAAGGGGTAATGGTTTTTAACTAAAAGAGTGTAAACTCAGATAAGATATGAGGAAGACATTTTTTATTATGAGGGTGGCAACACACTGGAACAGGTTGCCCAGAGAGGTGGTGGATCCCCCCTCTCTGGAAACACTGAAGGTTGTGTTGGATGGGGCTCAGTGCAGGACCTGCTCAGTGCAGGACCTTTAAAGGTCCCTGCCAACTCAGACCATTCTATGACTCCATGATTCAAATGAAATAAAGAGCTGTTGTTGATAGCACTTGCATAATTTAAATTCAAATAATAACTTCACAGTGTCAGCTGAACGGGACTCGTGCAGAAACACTAAGAGAGCACTGAGAGATCTTTTGCCATGTGGTACCAGGTATCTTGTACAGATGACTTTCCACAGAGGAAAAGAAGATTTGGTGAGAAGCCTGAAAGCTGGAGCACAAACCAAGCTTTTAGGGAGGGGGGTATTTTCAGTCAGATCATCAGGCCACTTTGGCTGCTGCACAGCAACATCATCATTAAATCTGTCACAGGCAAGGTGGCAGGGATGCATGGAGGGACACGTGGTTTGCACCAACATTTACACAGTCTTTCCAAAGAACATCTCGGGGCCAATCTGTCACACGGGGCTACATTTCAGGGAGAGGTTTCCCCGTTCCACTTCAGCACTTGTCTCATGTTCAGGCAGACAAGGTCACACTTGCCAGACAGTCATTAGGAAATCTGTCCTTTGTTAGCTTTGTGTCCCAGCTATCTTTCCTCAGTGAGTGACAGGGAGAAGCATCCATCCCTGGATCCCTGGATCCCAGCATCACTGGCTGAGCCCAGCACAGCTGGCAGCAGCTGATGGGAGAAGGGGGGTCACTCAGGCTGCACATTTCTGCCAGACCACTGCCAGACCCCCTAGGACAGTGGGCATTTCTTATAATTACTGTGGCAGTAGCTCTGTAGTTCATGTGTTAAATGCCTGTCACTAAAGATTCATCATTCCAGGCCTGAAGATGCCTCACCTCAGGGATACGTAACAGAAAATAGTTTTTGTTCTACCTTCAAAAAGAAACTGCTGTAGAAAACCTGTGTTGCAAAGTCAGCTGTCAAAAGTTAGACACTTTTTGTTCACATTAATGCAGACACTTTGCTTATGCAACTCCATACTATTTTTGTCACAGAACCTATGCATCATTTACACAAGGAATGCATACACAAGGCAGCATAATTAAGATTGCATGAAACTGTAAATCTGCCATCTTTTGGTTTTGAACTTAAAACCTTTTTAGCTGAATTTATAGGCCTTACCTACAAACAATTCTTAACTGTGCATTCCATGGTTTTATCCCAAAGACACAGGGACTCTAACAGATGCTGATTGAGAAGCTCCCTGACTTCAAAAATGAAATATCATCAGTGTATGAAAGGGTTTATTTGATTTGGCTCCCTGCAAGAGTAGAGGACTGGGCTTAGTGAAGAAGAAAGATCACTCCTGTTTCTGTGTTGCTAACAGATCATAATTTAGCTGAAGATTGATGTCAATGCTAACACATTTATTTATGGGTAACTACTTACTGGCCTTTTACTTTCTGTTCCTCCTGCAGTCATCAGTGGAAACAAGCCAGACATCTCTGGGTCAGTTCATGGGTGAATTCTCTCCAGCAACATCATCTACATTTGGTAAATATAGTTCAATTTAAATTGGTTCCTTGTTTATAATTCACTATTTGTGGTATTCATAATCTGTTTCATGGTGGGACCCCACAGAAGCACCTGAGCACAGTAGATTAGGGTGCTGAGGGAACGTTTAGGGTAGGCAGTGCCAGGGAGTGACGCTGCTGTGTTCCCAGGGAGGTGAAGGTGCAGGAGCCTGGCTGCATGGGCTGTGCACAGGTGTGGGGGGCTTTTCCAGCAGCCTTTGCATTGCCTCCATTTGCCCAAGAGGCCTGAACTGTCCTGTTGCTGCACAGATCTGTAGATGTGCTTGGGTGCCAATGCAGAACCTGGTAACGTGTTAACTGTTCAGAAGTTCAAAACTACCTTTACATGAGGTTGAAAATCTGCAGCAACCACGTGTAAAAGAGGCCTTGAACATGTAATCCACGGGAACTAACAGCCTCTGTTGGTGGTTTTGCATGGAAGCCTGCTGATCAGTGGGTATAAGGCCTGAAATACTTCTTCCTTTCCAGTGGGTCTTCTCTAAACTAAAAAGTGTTGACAGAAAGGAGCAGCAGGAACACTTGTGTCTGTGGTGTGAGGATTGCATAACTCTTTGTCAGATACATTGACTTCCAGATGTGACAATTTTTATGAACATTGTATTATTACCTTTAGGACTAAATCCAGTATACCTACTGGTAGTGGTTAAACTTTTAGCTGCTAACCAGCATGGTGTTGGTCATGGAGTAAGTAAATGTCTCCTTTGTAGCTTTCTTATTTCCCGTATCTGTGCCTGCAAACATAATCTCTGCTCTGACCATGTTATGGTCTTCTCTGTTTCCACAGCCCCTTTTTGTGAATGGGACTCCCTGCCCCAAACCTTCCCTAGATGTGTCCTTCTCCTTGCTCCGGTCCCACTGAGGGATGTGGGGCTGCCCCTGCTCAGGGCTGCAGGCCAGGCACTCCCACTGTCTGCCAGCACACAGGGTCACTCCTACAAAACCTACAAAAAGGTAAGTTATTGTTTATTGACTTGATAATCTGTATGGCATTATTCAACAGCACTAAGAATGTGGGGTTTTTAAATGCCACGTTCAATAAGAATATTGTGCTCAGTAAGAATACTGACCTAATCTTTCATTTCTTTTCTCAGTCAAACAACTTTGGCCCAAATCCAACAAACATCCAAGTATTGAGTTCATTACTGTACACTCTGCCACAGCCCTTTAAAGAGTATCTTTCACAGCCAGAGCGAAAAGGCTACTAAATGGGTCAAGATCACCCGTTGGTAAACAAACCGGACCATTTCAAGTTTACTTTAGAATTTAAATAAAGAAGAAATTTCAAAGCAGCATTACTATTTCTCAGCCGCTGGCGAAGCCGCGCACGGCTGCACAAAACGGCAACAGGGAGTTCATTCACGGCCGGGAGGAGCCCCCGCCCTGAGCCACCTGAGGACAGCGCGGCTGTCGCGGGGGCCGCGGGCTCGGGGCGGGACGGGGGTCCCCGCACAAGGACCGGGGCAGCCCCCGGGGCCCAGCCCGCCGCTCCCCGGCCCCGGGAGCCACCGGGGCGGGGCCGGGCACACCCGGGGCAGCGGAGAGAGGGCGGCCCTGCCCGGGCCCCTGCCCTGCCCCGGGGGCGGAGGGCCGCGGGAGCCTTTGCCTCCTCCCCCGGCCCCGCACTCACACGAGGAGCAGGCGGCGAGCGCAGCAGCGGCTCCGCGGCCCAGCCCTGCCCTGCCCCAGTCGCCGCCGCCGCCCCGAGATGCCGCCCGCGGCCCCGCCACCGCCGCTGCTGCTGCTGCTGCTGCTGCTGCTGCTGCTGCTGCTGCTGCTGCTGCCGGCCACGGCGCGTCCCGCAGCTCCCCCGCACAGGTACCGCACCCCCGCCATCCCCGCCATCCCCTCCTCCCCGCACAGGTACCGCGCCCCCCCATCCCCTCCTCCCCGCACAGGTACCGCATCCCCGCCATCCCCTCCTCCCCGCACAGGTACCGCACCCCCGCACAGGTACCGCGCCTCCTTTTCTCCCTCCCTCCGTCCCTCCCTTTGTCCCTCCGTCCCCCGCGGGAGCAGCGCCCACCGTGCGTCCCCGGGGTGTTTCCCTGCCCGTGAGCGCATCAGGGCAGGGGCTTTTCCCAGCGCCCGTGCAGGGTGTGTGCAGGGTGTGTGACACAGCCGTATGACACCGTGTGGCATCCCCGTTCCCAAAGCTCGGCAGGGCACTCGCTCACCCTCGTGTCCTCAGCAGGAAGGCTGTGGTTCCACGCGGAGGTTTTCCCGGGCTCCTCGCGTGTCCGCGCAGCGTGGCCGGAGCCGGCACCGGCACCTGAGCTCACCTGAGCTCACCTGAGCTGGGCCCTGAGCACAGACGGGGATCGTGCACGGGGTACCAAAAACTACTGGCGAATTACTCGATTAAAACATCTAAATTCAAAGCATAGGGAGGAATGAAAAGTTATTTTTATTGGTGCGGTATTTTAACTACTGTTATATGTACTATAAAAAGCCATTACTAATGACTTTTTAATAACTGTTTTTTCATTATAATAGCAATTTGCAGTGATGTATCACACCTTGCTCTTGTAAAAAAGGAGGGAAGGATAACGCTGTGCAAACCCAGAATTAAGGCCCAAGGAGTTAATGTTTTCTACACCTAAGTTTGAGCATTAAATTGCACATTCTATGTCAACAGTCAAATTATGTAAACAATGAAATATATGTTTAATGTTAGCAACGTTTTTAAACACTTAAGTGTTTTTGAGACAGTTCGTGCCTCTTGACCATTATACAAAAAAATTAATGAAATATATTTAAAAATTAAGACTGTTTTTCCTGTTGTTCTCAGGCCTTCGTTTACATGTGGAGGAGTTGTATCTGGAGAGTCAGGGTTTATTGGCAGTGAAGGATTTCCTGGAGTCTACCCTCCAAACAGCAAATGTACTTGGAAAATCACAGTAAGAATTTTTAATGTCACAAAATCAGTGCTGAAGACAATGAAGAGTTATTTGTTGTTAATGCCAGTGTTTTATATGGGGTAACATATGTGCAATAATGAAAGCAGCTCAACCATTTGGAGTTTCTTAGGGTTGATGTAACATGAGACTAATGGCTGAAATAGAACTGGCCTTGCCTCACGTCAGAAGCAAATTTTCATTGACTTCCATAGATACACCTCTGATTGTTTTAAATGAACACACTGGCAAGCAAACATCTCCCATTCCTGTCACTGCAGAAAGCAATAGTGAGTTCCATAGAAGTAAAGGTTCGAGGGGGAGGTAAGGAAAAGTTTTCTTGACAAGAAGACATAGAAAAAGTTTTAGTCAAATCCAAAAAATTCAGGCAGGTTTGCTCATAGTGTGCTACCAGCCATGTTCTGCCAGCAGGACATCTGGAGTCTGTCATCCAGCAACCTGACAGTAACAGGGAAGTGCTGTTACGTTATAATTGACCATGTGGTATGATGGATACTTTGATGCTGAAAGGAGACTGCAGGGCAGAGACATCATATTCATGGACAACAGATGCCATGAAACAACATGGACTAAACATTCAGTGCTGGGTGTCCTTATCCACAGACCCAGAGAAGGGATGTGAGTGAATGATTACTTTTCCTCACATCTGCACAAATTAAACCATCTGAAACTGCCCACCAAATTTCGTCTCTGTTTTTCAGGCCCAGTTCTCTAAGAACTCTTATGATATTCAGGCCTATAGAAAAATATAAGAGAACATAAAAAAATAAGTTATTCTGTGTACTGACAGGCTCACTAAAGACAACTTCAGTTCAAAGACTGCATCACAGCCTAGGTGTTGGCAGGACAATAGGATGTCACAGGATAATTGTTTCCTGCTACTATAGAGACGCTGACGCAAAGCAGGAGACATTGATCTGTTTACAGTGTTTGGTTTAAAACGACTCTCGTACCAAATGAGTGATGTAAATTTAATCATTTTGACTGGAGGATCCCAGCAAAGTTGCACAGTTGATTTCTGCAGCTTTCTGCTGCATTATTACTGGGGCTGAGTTAGAGGTTACCTTTGATCCGTGGCTGACTTCATCCAGAGGAGTATGACGTGACACACAGGGTGTGCTCATAAACCTGCTTCCTGCCGTGGAGGGGCTGAGGTGACAGCAACTAGCAGGGCCCACCTTACAATCTGAAGAGCAGATGCAAACTGCATTTTGAATCACACACACGTGCCTTAAATGAAAGGGGGAAAATGGCCACAGTTAGTTCACCCGTATGATTCGGTATGAGATCTTCAAAGGTTCAAAATTGAATCTGGAGGGGAATAATAATTTTGTTCATAACAGCATAAAGTTTTTACCATTAAAAAACTTAGATTAAAAAGGAGGCAGCACTGAAGAAGCAATTACTACAAAGCTGTAGCAGAGCTGTGTCTACACTCCAGCTTTCCTGGGGCATCTGGCATTTCATGATCATCCTGATCCCAGTTTTCTGCTGTGCTGCCATTTCCTCCCACTCTTTGAGTGTTGCTTACTTGTTCTCTGTAAGTCACCCAAAGCCAGAGAAGGGCTGCACACCTGTAGCAGTCCAGGCTCGCTTGTGCCTTCACCTCATCTAACCCCTGTTAGACAATTTTGTGCACCAAGCCAAGCTGATTTCTTCCCCTATCACCTGTGCAGAACACCCTGTCTTCTGCTGGACAGGAAGGATGTAGGGAAGGCAAGGATTACAAAACTTGCAAGACTAAGCCTGTACCCTCTTTAAAAAGAGTTTACCAAACTGAGGGAAAGTGTGACAGTCAAGGGTCTGCTTAGCCTGAATTTAAACAACAAAATCCTTTCAGCAAATAGTGCTGAGGCTCAGCACAGCTTGCAACAGCACCCAAGTGAGAGAGCAGTCACAGTGCCATGAAGAAATGCTCTCTAGTTACTGCTGGGCTTCCTCATTTGGCATCATCTTAGAAAGTGACTGAGCCTTTCTGCCTGTTTTAGCCAAGGGCTGTGAACACCTCCTGAACACTCTCTGCCTGATGCAGGACCTGACAAGTCTGCGAGGCTGAGAGAGAGTTGATTCCCTTTGTGTCTGGGTCACGAGGAGCATTGAGCTGTTGTTTTCTCAGCTACAGGATCTCCTCAGCTGCAGGAGACAGGCCCAGAGAGGCAGAATGACAGCTAGTCCATTCTTTAGAAGAACATAGGTATAGACAGTGTTATGAGTGATACAGATAAAGCAATGTAGCATTCAGGTATCAGCTCAAACCTTTCCAACTGGTTTGCTAAAGCTGGAAGGGTCTCTCTAGCTCAGTTATAGTTCTGTTATTTCAAGAGACTGGGACTTTTTCAGCTGGCTAAAGAAAACAGCTTCTCTATTCTAAGAGCTCTAAGAAGTGTTCAGCACATGCTTGTGGTTCTATTACAACCTTGGCACACTACCCAGCAGCTTTTAGCTGGCTTTGCTAAGGAGTCATTTGTACAGCTATTTCCTTTCTTATAGTAATGTATATAGCTTTATCTCAAATCTGTCATATACATTTACTTTTAATACTCTGTAATCCTTCTTGGCCATCACCTCCCATAAATGTGTCACACAGTCCAAAAATCTGGAGCGCTCTCCCGTGTTTTTCTGGCAGACCGCTCAGTTCCCATAAAACTCCAACAACTTTATGTGCAACAATAATACTGACAACTGTCAGAGTTATGTAAGGTTATGTTTTTATAGGTTCAGGAGCTGTGTTCCAGCAGGTTTGCTGACAATAACCGAGGTTTGAAAAATTTACTTACCAGGGAAGTTGGGAATCTGCCCTGAGGGAGGGAAATATTTTAAATAATTTTTTCTCTGTTTTAAGCGCTCATTTGCCCATATCATTGTAAAACTGCCTTCCCAGTAGAGAACAGATCTTTACACATGGTTGTACTGCCAAAAGCAAGAGATGAACACAATCTAGTGTCTCTGTCAGGAAGAGCCAGCCAATACAATTTTTTAAAATTGCAGCTAGGGTACAAGCCACTGAGTAGGAATTGTGGTTCAAATAACTTCCACGTTCATTCCCAGGAGAGAGAAACAATACATTTGGCATGCAGGTAGCTGATGGATTTTTTCAACTCTACTTAGGACTGCTATGGCAAAACATCTGGTATCGAACATATATCAAAATATATCAAACATATATCAAAACATATACAAGACAGGTTTTAAAACTAGGCAAAATGTATTTACAAAAGTTGGCATTTAAGGGTTTTTCCCCACCAAAAGATTATTTTCAAAGTAAATAATCTAAACCGAGTAATTTTGATGAAGAGGGCTTTGTGCTCAGAGAAACAGCTTCACTATTTTAAATGCAACTAAACTTTGATTAACATTATATGAAATACTGCAATGAATGATGACCAAAGACACTGTAGGGACCTTATTTTGAGGTGGGTTGTATACATGAAATAATCCTGCTCTTTTGAAGAAGTTAGTGATCTATGCAGATGACTTTAGGGAATTATGCTCTATAAAAACTCCCTCTGAAATTCAATTAACCTTCAATAGGAGTAAGGCATCCTTCCCATGGGTTTAACATTGTAGTTTTTGATGCTAAAGAAGTTCACAGAGTTAAAATCAGAAGGGAAGCAGAGAATGAGTGTCAGTCCCCCTCTTGGTGACAAGGAGAGGCAGAAGCCAAAGTGCCTCTGTTGTTGAAAGACACCAGCTGGATGGAGAAAACAAAAATAAGGCACACCCTGCAGAGGAAGCATCACATCATTCTTCCTTTGACTTCTCCCTCTTCCCCCCCTCCTTTCTTTTAAGAGCTGGAATTCCTTCCAGTTCTTCCTCTGAGGTATCCCATCATCTCACTGCATCAGGCTGGGCCGTGGCTCAAAGTAAACAATCCTGAGTCACGCTGGCCTTTGCCTTCTCCCCTGTGTTTCTCATGGAACAATATTTTAAATGTCCTAGGATAAACATTGGCAGATTTTAGCACATTACTTTTCAACCTCTAAAAAAGCAAATGGGAGAAATGAAAGGAAAGGACTGTTTTGAGAAGATGCCTGTGTCTAGGGTGAGATTTCTCGGGAGTAGCTGCAGACTGGAGTGGCTGCTGCCAGAATATGGAACCACCATCCTCTGCACTCCTGATTGTCATCCAGTCAGACCACAGAATTTTAACTGACTTACCATAGTGGATCAAACGTGTTATTTTTGTGAATGACATCTATTATTTTAATAAGCAGGTACATTATTTTATAAAGTAATGGCTTGCAGTAGTGACTGTGATTAAGGGCCCCACACATTTCTCTGAATTACTTACCTCCCCAAATTCAGCTAAACGTGACAAGGATTATTCTAACAATTAAAACCTGAAGTAGGCTCCTTGTTAAACACTCATGATCATGTGGCTGAGTTTTTCCTACACTTTGTTTTACAAACTGCCATGAAACAAAACATAGAAAGTCCGTACATCTGTGGAAAACAGTCTTGACCAAGTTCAAATGACTGAACTAACAGAAGCTACAGAGATTGAAAACTAGAATGAAATATAATTAGATAGGGTAATGTTGCACAGTAGAACACAGGCAGTAGTGGAGGGAGGAGAAGGAAGCACACAACCCTGTAGAGAATTACCTGTACCCCAAAACAGCAAACCTAAGGCTTGGCTGAACAGCTGGCTGGCACTTTGGAGTCTGGCAGCTTTGCCAGCCCCCTCTCCCTCCTGGGCAGGGTCAGTCCCATGTGCTGGTTCCCTCTGTCCCCCCCGGGCAGGATGAGAAGGTGCAATACCCAGGGGTAGGACTGAGTACCCTGAGGCTGCTGAGAGCAGAGCAGCCCTGGGTCAGTGCTGGAACAAAGCTGTCAGTGAGCACCATCAGCATCACTGAGGGGGAACCTCTTGGCTAAATCTGAGCAAAAACACCTTTTCTTACCCCAGAAGCAGCCACCTCTCACATTTCCACTTCCTTCTTCAAACACTGGGAGGGAGCAGGTATATTCAAAGAAGCAAT